CCTAACTCAGGCAGGTGGCTGGCGTAAAGCACACATGTGGCAGTGGGGCTCAGCGGCTTTTGGCGGAAAGACTTATTGTAACACTGTAGTGATACCTATGAGGGATTGTCTTGATTGACGTGATATGGGAGGGCACAGACCACTGTAGAACTCAAATCCCTATATAGGTGGACTTGGTCTATAAAAGAATACTAAATGAGCGTGATCATAGAAGTGATCCAGAAAGCAATCGAGCAAACAAGCATTCTTCCATGCTTTCTTCTTAAAGCTCTTTTCCTTGAGTTCCTGCCCCAACTTCCCTCAGTAATGGATTGTGACCTGGCAGTGTAAGCCAAATAAGTCCTTTCCTTTCACGTTGCTTTTGGTCAGATTATTTTGTCACAGCAACAAAAAGGAAACCATAGCCCATCTATAGCACTCTAAAGTAGCACTGTAACTGAAGACCAAGCTTTTTGAATGCATGAGCCTATGCGGGACATATAATATCACTCAAATCCTAAGAGGTGGAATGTCTGATTCACATGTGCATCCTCTGTCTTGTGCACTGAATAGGCATCTCTCTGTGTATGCCACAATTTTCTCATCATGTGCAGGTGGTGATCCAATACTTCCCATCAGGAGACTCAGTTCAATCAATTGAAGTTGGCATGTGAAATAAATCCCATTTACCATTTCTGTTCTTGTTTGCTTCTTAAATTGGAGATACCTTCTTGTTTTCTTGAGACCAGTTCTTAACATGATGTGGCAGTGTCTTAGATCTGCAGCCTGCCACAAAGGAAATCTTTCTGAATGTCAAACTAATCTTTATAGACCCAAAATACCCTACATGACTGAAAGCCCACTCAAGGACAGACATGGCAAACATGCAAATGGAATTCTGAAAGCATCTATTTTCCTTTTTAAAGTTTTGTTAATTTTCTTTGTGTGTGTGTGTGTGTGTGTGTGTGTGTGTGTGTGTGTGTGTGACAGCATGGTATTGGAACAAAAACAGTCATGTCAATCAATGGAATAACTGAAGACCTAGACAAAATCCACACATATGATTTTTGATAAAGAAATACATCTTCAACAAATGGCGCTAGCCAAGCCAGATGTTTACATGTAAAATATTCCAATATATTTATCATTTTTATCAAATAACTCAAATAAAACAAATAACGCAAATAAAAGTTGGGTCGACGCCAAGGGCCCCGCTTCCACAGGGTTCCCTGAGTTCCATAGGGAGGGACCTGATGGAGACACCTCTCTTGTTTAGCTGTGGATCTCTTCAACCCCTTCCTGTCTGCTGGCAGAGGGAGTCACTCTGATGACAACTTGGCAAGGCACTGATCTATGAGTATAACAGAATATCATTAAGAATTATTTCACTGATTTTTTTTTTTTTTGCCATTCATGTTTAGTTCTACTGTAGGTCTCTGGGCTATCCATGGGCTCCCTATCCTGGCATGGGCCTCAAGTTAAACCAGACATTGGTTGGTCTCTATTTATACAAATACAAACATTCATATGTATTTAAGTGTGCATCATTGCTTTGTTTACATCTACAAAAAAACTTAAACATATGCATGGGAAAATCAATTGTTGTAATAATGAAAGGAAAGCGGCTGTCACTTCATCATTGGTGATGAACTTCAATTCAGTCACTGGCTTACTTCTCACTCCACAAAGTTCTGCATTAACTAACCAACATCAAACATATTCTGAATGTTATATCCAAGTCTATTAATTTGTGGATAAAGTACTTAATAATCCATTTCAATTACAACACACAAAGCAAAACCACTGTTTTGCATTTACATAGAGATTTCCATTTATAAAGTAATTCTTCATATATTAAGTCTTCATCAAAATTTCAATATGCTCATAAGAGAGCAGAATGAATACTTTGCTCTGTGGTCACAGAAAAATATCAAAGAACAGAGATATTAGGCAAATGTAAAAGCTGGACTTAGAAATCAATTCTTACAAAGCCTAGGCGGTTAACATTACGCTAGTGTGAGCAGTTTGCAGTCAACTTTTTATCTAGAAACTGAATTTCTATTTATGAAATATTGATTCATCAACATATTTTACCTAATAACTAAAAATGTATCAAAGGGGAAACACTGTTCCAAATTACATCTCAAACACTGAACAAGAGCTATATTCCTTATTATGGTTACAAAGTGAGTGAGTTGCACATCCAAAACAAAGCCACACCTCCAGTGAGAACAGAGCAAATGGGCCACTGGCTTTCTCTCACACACGCCCATCTCATTTTCTTTTCCATTGTTAGAGCCTCCGCATCCCATTACAGTGCAATCAATGTAATGAATGCTTAAACAGAAAGGTAAAAATAAAATAAAATGAAGCCAGCTCTGCCTCGCAGCAGATATTTGCAACACATCCGAGAGAATTTGCTTTTATTAAATTAGCCACAGGAGTGTTTCTTTATCACTTCTTTCTTACAAGAGAAACATTCAAACCAAATAAAATTCAGCTTTTAACAACTAAATACTATACTTACAACTAAAGCAATATGTATATTATAGAACTAATACTATATGCATACAGCTTTTGATATAATGTAACCTTTAATTTTCAATTAAAAGTGAAAATTGCCTTAGATTTGGGCTACTTGGGTTTCTCAACAAATAAAAATGACATTAAAATTGCATTATACTCAGTGTGTGTAATAAAAGAAAAGATGAACTCAGCAAACTTAATGGTGTATCATTCAGGATGTTTCTTTTGTTTGTTGCTTGTATTAATAGCTTCATTAACCAAGACACCAGCTAAAAGCCATGTGACCTGTGTATTAAGTCATATGGAACTGATTCTTAACCCAGTTGAGACCATTTGATGGTAAGATGATCTCGTGCAAGTTACCTAGTCTCAGCTGTATGACTGATGATGATAGTTGTTTCTCCATTTGTGCAGCTTAAGGAAGGAAGTGAAGGAGGCACCCCTGCTCTGTATACAGCAGGTGCTTCCTTGTTAGTATTGCCACTAAGCTGCAGCTTCATAAAACCAAAACTGTACTCACAGAACCACTGAAATAACAACCAAGGACACTTGTCTTTAGACACATGGTCCTACCTTATCTTTACATTTTTTTTCAGAGGCCCTTAAGAAATTGCTCAACATCCTTAGCCATCAGGAAAATACAAATCAAAACAACTCTGAGATACCATCTTACACCTGCCAGAATGACTAAAATCAAAAACACCAATGACAGTCTATGCTGGAGAGGATGTGGAGAAAGGGGAACACTCCTCCACTGCTGGTGGGAGTGCCAACTCATACAGCCACTTTGGAAATCAGTATGGCGGTTCCTCAGGAAATTGGGGATCAGTTTACCTCATGATCCAGCAATTCCACTCTTAGGCATATACCCAAAGAATGCACATTCATACAACAAGGACATCTGTTCAACTATGTTCATAGCAGCATTGTTTTGTAATAGTCAGAACCTGGAAGCAACCTAGATGTCCCTCAACTGAAGGATGGATAAAGAAAATGTGGTACATTTACAGCAGTAAAAAACAATGTCTTGAAATTTGCAGGCAAATGGATGGAACT